ACCCTGGTGCTCCTGGTGGCCAGAAGATGCCCACTCAAAAACATCGCGCACCACAATTGTGGTCACGGGTCATTTCATTAGCATAACTCATTATCATAACTTATGTGCATATGCCACGCCCCCTGACATCACTGGAAGTGTGTCAGAAGGCAACACCCACCGCTCAGGCGCCACTGGACTGTTTTGGATTGCTAGCTATTGGGGGGGAGGGAATATGCAGATCTGTCCTCACAGAGGAGGGAGAGCTTGTGCCTGAACAAAATTTGGTCTTAAAGGCGCCACTGGACTGTTTTGGATTGCTAGCTATGTGTGGGGGGGAACGTACAGATCTGTCCTCGCAGAGGAGGGAGAGCTTGTACCCGAATAAAACTTGGTCATAAAGGTGCCACTGGACTGTTTTAGATTGCTAGCTATTGGGGGGGGGGAACGTGCAGATCTGTCCTCACAGAGGAGGGAGAGCTTGTGCCTGAACAAAACTTGGTCTTAAAGGCGCCACTGGACTGTTTTGGATTGCTAGCTATTGGGGGGGAGGGAATATGCAGATCTGTCCTCACAGAGGAGGGAGAGCTTGTGCCTGAACAAAATTTGGTCTTAAAGGCGCCACTGGACTGTTTTGGATTGCTAGCTATAAAAACTTACCTGGCTGCTTCTTGCTCCTCGAGGCCCGACTGAGGGCTGCTGGGAGCAGGGGGTGGGGCTTGTTGCATGTGCCTGCCCCCTGGGATCTTTACTGCCGGAGCTCCGCTCCTGTGCGCTCCTGTAGGAAATGACCCCTGCTTGAGGCAGTAAACGGCCATCACTTCAGTTATTGCAGAGAGACGGGACTCAGGTTCAGGTTTCCTTCTCGTCTCTTTCCCATGGGGAGGATTTCTTACAAGGGCACCCCCAAGTGGCAATGGCTGGCAATTACCATATCCAAAGGAAGATGCAAAGAATGAACAGACTCCTTGAAGTAGTCGCTCAGTACCAAGGGTTGCTTCCATGGGAAATGTTCATTGCCAAAAAAAAAAATACTCCCTGTATGGAGCCCACCCCATTGCAGCAGTATTTTTTTTTTTTTTTGTAAAAGAATTTTTTATTTTCATGGAAATAACCTCTTACAGTTAAAAAAACCTATTACCATTCTTAAACCAATACCTATATTCCCATATCCCCCCTCCCTCCTGGTGGCTTCCCGCAATGTTTCCCCCTTTGACCCTCCAGTACATCTTAAGATAACATCAATTAATCTCAATATTGTTCTAAACATAGTAAATTGTGCTTCACATCCCAGTTTTTTTCTAGGTAAAGTTTAAAGTCATTCCATTCTTCAAAAAAGTCAAGATCTTCCCTGTTATTCAGTTTCTTCGTAATTTTGTCCATCTCTGCCATGAACAGAATTTTTCGTATCCATTCTTCTATTTCTGGTGTTCTTTCTTGTTTCCAACACTGTGCATACACCATTCTTGCAGTCGTGATCATATACCATAACATAGTCTTTTTAGTTACATTCAGCTCTTCCATTCTAAGTCCTAAGAGCAGAATTTCTGGTGCTTTTTTAAAGGAACATTTCAAAAAATTTTGCATTTCGCTGTGGACCTTTGTCCAAAAATCCACAGCTTTCTCGCATGTCCACCACATATGATAAAATGAACCTTCATGTTTTTTACATTTCCAACACTTATTAGACATGTTTTGATTCATATTTGCTATTTTCTTTGGCATCATGTACCATCTGTACATCATTTTATAACAATTCTCTTTTACATTAGTACATGTCGAAATTTTAATAGAATTTTTCCACAAATATTCCCACGAATCCATAGTTACCTCTATGTTCATATTAACTGCCCACTTGAGCATTTGTTCTTTTACAGTCTCGTCTTCAGTAAACCATTTCAACAAAATTTTATAAATGTTAGAGATCATTTTTTTCCCTCCGCCCTCCCATACCTGTTCAATTTCATTTTTCTCCTCTCTAAATCCAAATTTTTTCTTATCTGCCTTAAACAAATCACAAATCTGCATGTAACTCAACCAGGTATAATTGTAGTGTATCTCCTCTCGTGTTTTCATTGTCCATTCTGTTCCTTCCTTTTTTATTAATTCTCTGTAAGGCAACCATTCTTCACCTGTTTGTCTTGTATATGATGACAATACTTCTGCTGGTACTATCCACAGTGGTCTTGCTTCAAAAAAGAATCTTTTATATCTCGTCCATGTTGTAAATAAAGCGTTTCTCACATAGTGATGCCTGAAAAAGTTATCCATCTTAGTCTTTTCATACCACAGGTATGCATGCCACAGCAGTATTTTTATTATATCATCACTTTTCTTGATGACCACACGTGTTTTCCCGTAGCGTGACTCTCATACTAGGTTCAACTCTTGATGAACTCTGCTTGCATAAGGCCTTTTGACCGCAAATTACAAACAGTTACAGAAACATTCGCTTTACTGCCTTCGACTAGAGATTAAGTTTCGCCTTCTCCTCTTGCTGTAGAAAAGGCGCCGAATGCATATCAGATGTACTCTTAGAGGCACACCTGTTTGATTATCTCATCAATAGATAAGAACGGGATCATTTATCTAAATGATAATCAGACGGTTAAGTAAGAAGAGAATTTAGCATAAGATAAGGGTGTTGTTTTTCTATAAAAAACGCACTGATGTGATAAGCAAACCAGATTTCTCTGGATAGAACTCTCAGGTTAGGTGAGATTTCTCTCTGTGTGAGAGAGAGAGTGACTTTGGCTTACAGAAAAATCCCTAAAAACAATTTAACGCAATAACTTGAAAGCTGATTTGCTTTAGATTTTACGTAAGCTAACATGGTTGAGGAAAGTTGGGGGCTCTGATCAAATTGGCCCTTGTCTCTGCAGCTAGTAAAGGGTTAATTCCCCCTCGCTTGTATTTCCTAACGTCTTGCCTCATAAAGAGAATTATTTCTGTACTTGACTTTTTTCAATAAAAGAAAAGTCTCTGAAGGTTTTCTGTCTGGCTGGCCAGTCCTTAGTTCAAAGAACAGAACTCAGAATTAATTTTGTCTCCGCTATCCGAAATCAACGGTTGCAAGGCAACCATTATCATACGGATCCAGAAGATCTCTAAGGCGAAATGTTTCGATAGATTAATTCTTAGAGAACGTAATTCGTCCTGATTCTCTGTTTGGATGTGGAAGTAAAACATCTCATTACCCCATGACCCCACTGGGCAGGAAGGCAAGAGGCCCAGTGACCTGCCGCGGATTTCAGATCAGCAACTTAATCTAATCACAGTTTAATTGGAGAGGGTCCGTGGCTCAGTGGCAGAGCTTCTGCTTGGCATGCAGAAAGTCCCTGGTTCAATCCCCGGCATCTCCAGTTAAAAAGGACCAGGCAGGAGGTGATGGGAAAGACCTCCACCTGAGACCCTGGAGAACTGTAAAGAGGGGCCGTGGCTCAGTGGCAGAGCCCCTGCTTGACACGCAGAAGGTCCCAGGTTCAATCCCTGGCACCTCCAGTTAAAAAGGACTAGATAGTAAGCGATGTGAAAGACTCTGGCCTGAGACCCTGGCTCACTGATAGAGCCTCTGCCTGGCGTGCAGAAGGTCCCAGGTTCAATCCCTGGCTCCTCCAGTTAAAAAGGACTAGATAGTAAGCGATGTGAAAGACTCTGGCCTGAGACCCTGGCTCACTGATAGAGCCTCTGCCTGGCGTGCAGAAGGTCCCAGGTTCAATCCCTGGCTCCTCCAGTTAAAAAGGACTAGATAGTAAGCGATGTGAAAGACTCTGGCCTGAGACCCTGGCTCACTGATAGAGCCTCTGCCTGGCGTGCAGAAGGTCCCAGGTTCAATCCCCAGCATCTCCATTTCAAAAGGACCAGGCAGGAGGTGATGGCAAAGACCTCTTTGTCTGAGACCCTGGGGAGGCGTGAAGTGGGGCTGTAGCTCAGTGGTAGAGTGACTTCTTAGCAGGCAGAAGGTCCCAGGTTCAGTCCCCAGGTTCAGTCCAGTTTAAAAGGACCAGGCAGGAGGTGATGGGAAAGACCTTTCTCTGCCTGAAGCACTGGAGAGCTGTCAAGAGGGGCCGTGGCTCAGTGGCAGAGCCTCTGCTTGGCATGCAGAAGGTCCCAGGTTCAGTCCCCGGCATCTCCACTTAAAAAGGACCAGGCCGTAGGGGATGTGAAAGACTTTTCTCTGCCTGAGACCCTGGAGAGCTGCTGCCAGCCTAAGTAGACAATACTGACCGTGAAGGACATGATGATCTGAACACGTTACCAGGCAGCCTCAATGTATGAGTTCACGTGTGTCTTCTCTCTCAGCCAGTTTGGTTTCGTGCTTAAGTGTGTGCGGATTCTAATCTGGGAGAACCGGGTTTGATTCCCCACTCCTCCACATGCACCTTGGGCAAGCCGTAGTTCTGATAAGAGCTGTCCTTGAAAAAGAGCAGTTCCCAGTCAGAGCTCTTTCAGCCCTACCGACCTGACAGGGTGTCTGTGGTGGGGAGGGGAAGGGTGTCAGCTAGTTGCCATGTGTCAATTGTATTTGTCCTTTCCTGACTGCGGCGCTACGGCACATGCTTGCTCACTTGCTCTGCTCGCTTGCTGTAAACAGCGATAGGGAGGCGCTCATGAGACAGTGCAAACTGGCGCTGCCGGACTGGGTTATCTGACTAACCTTGAGGAGGAGGGAGGGCTTGCGTTCCACTGTTAGTGTGAATATTTCTGCTGTCATGAGGCACGGAGACTCTCCCGTTCATTATGTAACCTCCCGCCGGGAGAATTTCCGCCCGCGCCATTTGCAGCATCCTGTTATAAATAGGGATGCCTCCATCCCATTGTCATTCCTAACAATATCCCTGTAGATCATGGCAACAGACCTGTAGTCTAATAAAGCATAACGATTCCCTGGAAACGTGTGTGGAGATTTACTTGCTGTTGGACCTGACAAAGGGAAAGGACATTATGAGCCGCTCTGAGACTCGGGTAGTGAAAGGCAGGGTATAAATCCAGTCTCTTCTCTTCTTCTTCTCTTCTCCTAGGATGATCCCCTCGTCAAGCAAGACTTTTCTGGTCAACGACCTCGCAGCGGGCAGAGACTACGACCTCTGCGTCTTGGCTGTGTACGACGACGGGGTGACGTCCCTCACGGCCACGCGGGTGGTGGGCTGCGTCCAGTTCACCACCGAGGGGGAGGGCACCCAGTGCCACTCGCTGCACACCCAGTTCCTGGGGGGCACCATGATCATCATCATCGGCGGCATCATTGTGGCCTCCGTGCTGGTCTTCATCATCATCCTCATGATCCGCTACAAGGTCTACAGCGGCCAGGACGAGCACAAGAAGGCCAGGGTCAGCAACGTCTACTCCCAGACCAACGGGAGCCAGCCCCCCGCCCCCGCCCCCCTGCCCCTTTCGGCCTCCAAGGCTGGGGAGGACAAATACGAAACCCTCCAAGATGTCAGCTCCAAGGAAACCACGGCGCTCGCCGGAGAAACCAAGGGAGATCCCGGCGACGGTCAAGACGTCGCCTTGACGGAGCTGGAGAAGAGGGCCGCCAAGAAGGCTTCAGACCTCCAGACGGTGGCCATCTTGTCCTCCGAGGAAGGACAGACAGAGAGCAGCGTGACCGGCTCGTCGGTCTCCCTGTGCCTCCTGAAGGACACTGGCGCGGGGGCCCAGCTCCGCGCCAAGAGGAGCGGCAGCGGCCCGGGGGTCTTCCCCCGTGAACTGTCCAGGACTCACCACCACCGACACTCCTTCGACGGGGATTACTCTCTTTTCCAGAGCCACAGCTACCCTCGCCGGGCACGGACAAAAAGACACCTGTCCACCTCGCAGTTGAACTCGGAAGAGTGTCCCCTGAGTCAGCGGCGGGTCATTTTTAGCAGCACGGAATGGATGCTGGAAAGCACAGTCTGAAACTCGGGGATGGGAGGGGGGGACGGGACGGGCAACGGGACTGCCGGACGCACAACCAGTTTGGGGTGGAGGAGCGGAGAGCGGGGAAGCTAGACGGGTGGCAGGGATGTGGACGGCAGGGGGGTGGGGAGCAAGCCAGCTCGCTCGAGAGGACGGGGATCGATCCGGCACGTGTGTCCCGCCTCCCCCACCCCCCCGATCTCTTTCCAAAACGACCGCTCGTTTCCAGGATTCTTTGCAGCGGTGCCTTAGCCAAACCACACAAAACAAAAGACCGAAAGGGATGGGACAGGACCTGGGGCGTTTTTACGGAAAGGAAGAAGCAACTCGGGTTCCGGTCAGGGTGGGGGAAGGGAGGGCAGAAGTGAGCAGGGTGGCCACGCCGTGCCAAATGGCGCCGGGGTCGTGGCGGCTGCAGGGGGGGCGCGCCAGAGGGCGGGGAGGTCAAGGAAGAGACACATATGCACAGATGACACGAAATTAAACAAAGATCCTTTTCTTTTTTTTTTCCTTTTTCCTCTTTATGCATTAATAACTGTTCCAATAAAAAAAAGGAGACGCGTGCAGAGTTATTTCGGGAGCCAAAACGGCAACAAAAAAAGGAGTGCCCGGTAGAGGTGGGGCGACGGGACCCAAGGGGAGAGGGGGGGTCCCTTCCTACATGCCACACACACACCCGTCCTGGGACCCAACGAGACGATTCAGTTACTCTATTTATTGTATCTGGCTGGTCTAGATAAAGAATTTCTGTGTTCGGTGTGTTCGTTATCGGAGAAGTCATTCGACCCTCCCCACGGAAACCTCCCCCCCCTTGACTTCCCCTTGTGGTGCTTGTCCCAGATCCTGTTCCCCCCCAACCACCAAAATCTTACACACACACACACCCCGAATCTCTGCTGCCCCGCCCTCGACGTCACCGTCCCCCTGTCCAGTCCTCGAATCCTTTGGCGTCGTCTCCCGTCCACCCCGTTCTGTCCCCAAGCCAGCCAAGCCGCAACGACTGCTTCCTTCTCCACCCCTTCTACCCGTCCCCTGCCCAATCCCCCCCCCCCCCCCAAAAGAAAAACCTTGCCCTAAAATCCCATGCACACGTTCCCATGCATATTTCCTACCCAAATCGTGACTTTATAAAAGGTCGGTTCCCCCCCCCCGCCCGATGTTTGAGTGTTGACCACAAGTTTTTACATTAAAAACCTGTGCCCGCCGTGCCCACACATTGCCCCACCCCACCCCACCCTCGGCCCATCCCTTCCTCTCCCAGTCCCGCCCAGTCCCTCTCCTTCCATAACAGGGTACGGCCGCTTTCAGGAGGTGATTAAATCTTTTGTGTGTGAACTGCAGTTGGATCCGGCTGATATTTTTCCTAAGGGGTGGGGCCGGGCAGGAGAGCTGAAAAGGGAGGGGGGGTTGAGTTCAGGAAGCCCCCAGAAGGGAATCCTGCAACTCGGAGGGGAATAGGTGATAAGTAGACCCCCTGCGGTGGTTCAGTGGTTAAGACGCTGAACTGCAGGCTGGAAGGTCGGTAGTTCGGCAGTTGGAGACCCGAGTGTGCCGCATGACGGAGTGAGCTCCCGTCTCTGGTTCCAGCTCCTGCCAACCTAGCAGTTCGAAAGCAAGAAACTGCAAGTAGATAAATAGGTACCGCTCCGGTGGGAAGGTAACAGTGTTCCGTGCGCCTCGGCATCTAGTCATGCCGGCCACATGACCACGGAAATGTCTTCGGACAGCGCTGACTCTTCGGCTTGGAAACGGAGATGAGCACCGCATCCCTAGAGTCGGATTCGACTGGCTTTCGAGCGAGGGGAACCTTTACCTTTACTAGACCCCCGTTCGGTGCCTGCATTTTGACTGTCTCTGGGAGCTCCTTGATTTCGTTTCATTTGAATTGATTTATTTATCAAGGTTTATACATTGCATTGCCGGTTTCGACTGACAAGCATTCAGCCTGCTGGTGAACGGGGGCCCTTCAGAAGGCAGAGTGATGTTAATTTGATTAGTATTCATTAGGCCTGTCAATCAATCAAGCTGTTTTGCATGGATTAATCATCCGCCTTTTAACTGACTGATTGGTTCGCATCAATTTGCATATCGCCAGAACCGCAACAGAGGTGTGTTTTTTTTAAAAAAAAAAAAAAGAGGGAATATTGAAGGGAATGGAGATCGCTCACAATTTAAACAGCAAAAAAAAGGGGGAAGAAATTCAGCTGCTCCTTGAAAGGAAAACTTGTTCCTGAAGCTGCTTCATTCCCCTTTACTGTAACATACCGGAATCAAAGTAGTCCTCCAAACACACAGCCCCTGGTAAAAAAATGGCTTCCTGCTG